CGACTTTCGACGACTCTCCTCCCCATTGCGACCTCCCGACGATCTGGTACTGATTAGCTGCTACTCCGCCTCCTGGAGCGACCGGGTAGACCTGTGCACCATTGCCGCGAATCAATCCAAGCGCGTCTTACACCTCTCGACCGTGGCCAAGTCGTGGCCAGGATGGTGCTAGCAAGTTTCGCGGGCCTCAGATAAATGCCATGGATGCGCAAGATGCTGTCGGGTCCGACAAGACGAAGCCTGCCGCATCACCCAAACAACGATCGACGCCCCAGCCTGACGAGAATGCGAGCGTAAAGGTGGCCTCGAAGTCTTCCTCGTCCGACGGCCCCTCCAATCCAGCTCCGTCACCCACAAGAGATTCCAAGCCGGTTCTCAACCCCCCACGCTCCGCGGATGCGGACGACGATGCCGCCTCAGGCGACCGTGACTCAGATGCCGAGACCATCGTGCTGCCTGGTAAGGATGGTCACTCGCCTTCCAAGGTGAGAAAGGTAAAGCACGAGGACGGGAGCGATGCCGAGGTACAACGTGGCAGGAAGCGCAGTGGCAACGGGTTGAGTCGAGACGGCGACGCTGGGCAGGGCGGGCCGCCTCCTGTCAGCGACGCAGCGGCTGCCTTGACACAACAGAAGAAGAGGCCCCGCGTCGACAAAGACACGCTTCGACCCGATAAGCCTTTGAAAGGTCAGGAAGGATCAAGCGGCCTCAGTTCTGCCCCCACCTCGCCCCCTCACCACCGAAGGCGAACAGGCCCTGTCGCTCACGACTCCGAGTCTGACGCCGACCGGCGAAAACGATCTCCCAAGCTTTCCATGAAAGACAGAGCCAAGTCCTCCGACCAGCTCGTGTCCCACAAGCGTAAAGCGTCCAGGGTTGGATCTGAAGAAGACCCAGAGGAGCGTAAAGCTGCTCGCCGCCGACGGATCGAGGACCGAGATCGCGCCGACTGGCTTGCTCCCAAAGAAGGCGTCAAGGGACAACACAAAGACCCGAAATCTGCTTCCTCAAGATGGCGGACCGATAGCCAGTGCCGATCTGTCTCTCCTCCAGCGCGTACTCATCGGAGGAGCATCTCATCGCAACTTCCCTCTCAACATTCAAACGGCTTGAGTCAGAAGAAGAGGCGGCTCCCGCCTCCCCTTCGATCAACGGAATACCACTCTGACGAATCTTCGGCCAGCGGCAGCCCTCATCCGCGAAGCTCAAAGATGAGAAACTTGTCAACGCCTGCGACAGCAGACCTCAACATGTCGCCCGCCAAAATGACACAGTCCAAGAAGCACGTTGATGCGCATGGGCAAACTGCTCTTGCTCGCGCCTGCAACAAGGGCGAGTATGATATCGCGAAGCAGAGACTGGCGGAGCGACCAGGCGACCTTAACGTAGCCGATTACGCTGGGAACACCCCGCTGCAAAGCGCATCCATCAACGGTTTCGAGGATATTGTGAAGCTACTCATCGAGGCCGGATGCGATGTCAACTGCATGAACTCTGTGAAAGATACGCCTCTGCTCGACGCTGTTGACAATGGACACCTTGAGGTTGTGAAGCTTCTTCTTGCTGCTGGCGTGAACCCGCGCAAGGGAAATCTGGAAGGAGAAGAGCCTTTAGACAGGATTAGCGATGATCTGGACAACGCGGAAGAGATACGAGCTGCGCTTGTTGAAGCGAAGCAGAAATCCAGCGACCTCCGACGAACTTCAGAAGAACACCACCACGCGGACCAGGCAGACCAACTATCACATGGGGCCGGACAGCCCCCGACGTTCACGGCACCCACGAGTCGCCGCCCTGTCAACTCGCGGGCCACCAAGATTGGCAATCACCATTTCTATGTGATCTTGACGAGAAGACGTTGAGGGCGCAGCTGCCAAGGGTGACGAGGAGACCGTTACGAGAGTTCTTCAAGTCAAGGAGCGATATGATGACCCTGAGGCCATGGTGGCGGCTGCACGTGGTGGACACAGCGTGGTCATGGAGCTGCTGTTGGCGCTTGGTGGCGCAAACCCTGATCCGGCCCCAGTCACGAGCCTCCCAAGCGAGTTCGCAACGCCAATGTTGGCTGCTATCGGCCAAGAGAACATTGATGTCCTCAAACTGCTCTTAAGCCAGGCAAACTTTGATCCGACACGCAAGTACCGCGGCTCGTATTACTACCAGATTGCTCAACAACGACAGGGCACCAATTGGAAGGAGGAGGAGGAAATCCTAAAAAACGCCTTCGATGCTTATAAGAAATCCCCTCGCGATGGCAAGACGAAATCACCTGGCAAGCGTGGTCAGGAATCGAAACGACCAGGGAGAAATCTGGTCAAAGAAGAGCCTGTGCCTCAGCGGCGAAACCTCTCGAGCCCCTCACGCGACGCCGAACCCAGGAAAAAAGCCGTTCCCAATCGCGCCATCACAAGTCCGAAGGAAAAGCGACGATCAGACTCCTTCACCCACCAAGACGAGCAGACTTCTCCCAAACGCGGGTCCGCAAAGCTCAAGAAGGACGAACGCTTGCCAACCGTCGCAGCTTCAGACCGTGAGGCCTCTCCTGCAACATCACAGAAGCTCGGTTCGAAGCCGAAGAGAATCGAATCAGATATGGCGGCCTTGTCGTCAGAGGGTGAGACCGTCAAGCCACGTCGGAAGTTGGTCTCAAAGGGCGAGCTCCGTGGTGAACGAGATAAGCAACGCCGAGCCAGTATGGTATCGACTACATCCTCCGTCAAGGACCCTGCGAGCCCTCGAGATCCGAAACATGATGAGACTGCCGAAAGGCTGAAGCCTGAGCTCCTCGCCGAGAAATACCATGACAGAACCAAGGCTCTCAAGAGGGACGAGTCTCGCGAGAGGTTGCCGGGGTCCAGCGAGCCTCCTTCGAAGAGGCACCGCTCAAGCGTCACGCCGCCGCACTCCAGCAAGTCTGACAGGGACGGCGCTGAGGGTCCTGTCAAGAGAAGGCGACTCGACACTGAAGGCAAGGAACGGCGTCAAAGAGCAGCTGATTCTGCTGACGAACGATCTCGCTCGACACAAGACGGTTCCGCAAAACCTAAAGCTTCGCTCCGGGAGACCGATGGTGATGGACAAAGGACAACACTGAAACCAAGCAGTGACACCGATTCACATCGCAAGGACCAAACCAGGCACAGTGACAGCGACAAATCGAGCATCCATGTCAAGTCCGAGGATGTCGATGTCGATATGCGAGACGCCCCTCTCCCGAAGGCGCCGAAGGAATCGGATGATGAGAAACGACGACGGGACGCAGATGTTGAAGCCAAGGACGCGCGGCGAAAAGAAGAACGACAGAAGGAGGCCGATAAGAAACGGCGCGATGAGCGTGAAGCCCGTGAGCGTGAGGCTGAGAAGCAGCGCCTGGTTGAGGAAGAGGAGGCCAAGCAACGTCTGGAAGAAGAGAAGAGACGTAAAGCTAGAGAGGAGAAGAGACGGCAGGTTGAGGAAGAGAGATTGCGCAAGGCTGAAGAAGACAAGAGGATCGCCGAAGCGCTTGCTGAAGAAGAACGTCTGAGGCGGGAGGCTGAAGCCAAGGAGGCCGAGCAGAAGAAACAACGGGAAGAGGCCGAGGCGCAACGTCTCCGTGATGAGGCGGAACGCAAGCGCATCGAAGACGAAAAGCGAAGGCGCAAGGAGGAAGAAGAAGAGAAGCAGCGAGAGGAAGAGCGCCTGCGTCAAGAAAAACTTGTGCGTGAGGCCGCAGAGCAAGCCCGTCGCGAGAAAGAGGAGCAAGCCCGCAAAGCGCTCGAGGATCAAGAGCGACGAGAGCGTGAGGACAGGGACAGACTCGAGCGTGAAGCTCGTGAGGCAGCGCTACGCCAAGCTCGCGAAGACGAAGAACGAAAACGACGTGCTTTGGAACTTCCTCCGCTCCTCCGTTGGCTGGAACAATGTGCTGATCCATGCACATTGGGCATCGCTTCAAGGTTCCAGCATATTCAGGGTGTGCGTTACGACACGGTGCGTCCTGAAGCCGTGGGCACTCCTGAGGGCAGAGCGCAGTGGCTTTTCAATTTTCAGGTTGCCCTGATTCTAGGCGAGAAGGATCTCCGCCTGGGCAAGTGTAAGTTCGCCTGATTTCAAAGCTTGATGCCTCGTATCGATCTGATTGTGAACTTTAGATCCCTTATGGGAACGTCTCCTCGTCACGGACCTGGCACAACCCGACCTCGTTAAAAGGGCCTTCTGGAGACTGGAAGCAGACCAGTACGCCCTCACTTCGCACAAGTACCGCGATCTCGGTGCCGAATTGCCAAACTACTACGGTGAAGGCCAGGACGCAAGTGTGGTAGGTTCTTCTGTGCTGGGAGAACTCCGCAGGGATGCGCAAGCCAAGTTCTTGAAAATGGACATGTTCTTGGTCAAGGTATGTTCATTAATTCGTCTCTCCATTGAGTCGCTTGCTAACCAAATTTGTAGCTCTCGGACTTGCTTGGTGTCATCCCTACCATCGCTCATCTCCAAGATATTCGACTCAGTGTCGAATATCGAGAAGTCCCAGAAAATGAAGCGCAAGAGCTTGCCTTTCAAACACCGAGGAGATATAGACAAGACCCTGGATCCGAGCGCTTCATGGGGTTCGCTCCCCGCAACACATATTACGTCAACGGACAAAAGGTTGGAGAAGACCTTCCAGGTCTCACAGCCACAAGCAAGGTGCCGTTTCCTGACCACGAGAGACGTGTTCCAAGACGCAATGGGCTCCAACAGGTTTTCCCAGGAGAGCCTGACTATGCGAAGCTCTGCTTGCACAGGGCCTAGGGCACCTAGTCACATGCTCGCAGAGAGTCCCTCTCCCTCAATCCTAATGAGTGTGCACCTTCGCCAATAAAGCCAAACTACCGAATATCGACAGTGCGCCCGATGAACACACCCGCGGCGCCAACTGTGGTTTCTTCAACAACAGTGAGTCAGACAAGCCAACCGCAGTTGTGAATGGTACGAACAGCAATCAGGAAACAGATCCTGCCTGATAAAGGGGTGCGAAATCATAACCGTGACTGATCTCGTCTGCTTTGATCTTGACGATAATGAAGTACGATCACTCAGCAGTAGCCCTGAAGCTCAGGCTTTGGTTCGAAATCATCACTCCCTCCTCCTGCAAGAGGCTTTCCTTTAATGACACGGAATTGTTTGGACGCTGTGCATTGAGCAGTGGGCAGGTGCTTATGGTGTTGCAAATATATCCAGTATGGCTTCACAGCATCGGAAAGACACTCTGGCTGTTACTGGGGCGGGAATGGCAGTGGTATTGCCATCCTCTCCTGTCGGGCTGATGTACCATTCGACGAAGCGACTTCATAGTGTCCCATGGTGTTGGGCAAAGCGACAGACATGCAATGCGTTTGTCTTGATTTATGTAGCCAATGAAACACACTTTTTTTACTGTTCCAAACTGATGTGCATGTGTCTTTCCTCCTACGTCCTGTTGTGCCATTTGTATCATGCCACTTTCAAGCATGGGTTACCAGCTCAGATCCCAGTAGTGAAAGCCTTGTCGTAGAAATTCGCGACGGATCGTGTTAACATGAAGTTTGATCGATGACATACTGACGCGAGGCCTACACGATTCTTGGGGGTGGACAAACAGTCAGACACCGAAACCGAACCATCCGATTTGGCTGACCGAACCAGGGCTCGGTGTGGTCACGGGTGGGTAAAGACCAGTGACATCACAGGGTGCACCAATGAAACTTCGGCAAAGTCGAACCCCGCCAAATTTTTACCCCACCAAGATCCCAAACTTCTTGAAATCCTCCCATCGCGCGCAGACCGCAACAGCAGCTACTTCAGAGACACGGCCATCGCGACACTGCAATCGGGAGCAGCGCCACATAGAAAGGAGCCACACAGAAACAGAGGAGTAGGGAACACCGCCAAGATGTCGACAACGGTGGACAAGGTAGGCAGGCTTCTCTGGGCTGCTCTGAGCAATGGCTGACTATTCGCAACACAGATCAAGGAGATCGAGGCCGAAGTACGTCTATTCTCGACAAGGATCCAACACCACCATTAGCAACTAACGTAACGGAACCCTGTAGATGGCCAAGACCCAGAAGAACAAGGCGACGTCCTTTCACCTGGGCCAGCTGAAGGCCAAACTGGCCAAGCTTAAGCGGGAGCTGCTCACGCCATCGTCCGGTGGTGGCGGCGCCGGCGCGGGCTTCGATGTGGCCAGGACGGGTGTTGCCAGTGTTGGATTCATCGGCTTCCCTTCAGTAGGAAAGAGTACCTTGATGAGCCGGCTCACAGGACAGCATTCCGAGGCTGCAGCGTACGAGTTTACGACACTGACCTCGGTGCCTGGCCAAGTCGTCTACAATGGTGAGCACAGGCTATCACCCGGCGATTGCCCCTTGCGCCTGACCCTTTGATTTGCACGGACGTGTTCCTGATTATTGAAATAGGTGCTCCTCTACAGATCATTGATTTACCAGGTATCATCGAGGGTGCCAAGGACGGTCGTGGCCGTGGTCGTCAAGTTATCGCGGTCGCGAAGACGTGCCATCTCATCTTCATCGTTCTCGACGTCAACAAGCCTTTGACGGACAAGCGTGTCATTGAGACGGAACTCGAGGGCTTCCGGCATCCGCATCAACAAGTCTCCTCCCAACATTACATTCAAGAAGAAGGAGAAGGGCGGCCTCAACATCACAAACACAGTGCCTCTGAACAACATCAGCCACGAAGAGATCAAGGCTGTCATGAACGAGTACAAGATCAACTCTGCGGATATCTCTATTCGATGCGACGCCACCATCGACGATGTCATTGATATTCTAGAAGCCAAGAGCCGGAGTTACATCCCCGTTGTCTACGTCCTCAACAAGATCGATGCCATCAGTATCGAGGAGCTCGACCTTCTGTACCGTATCCCTAACGCTGTCCCGATCAGCTCAGAGCACGGGTGGAATGTCGACGAACTGATGGAAGCGATGTGAGCCCTCCCCTTTTCTTTGTTGAGCTGCATCCTTGGCCTGTGATCACTCTGCAGTCCAAATCTGGGTGTGAGGTTGATAGACGGAGAAGAGGCAGCACAGACTGTGCTAACCAACAATGCACTAGGTGGGACAAACTGAACCTCGTGCGCGTTTACACGAAGCCAAAAGGAAGGATGCCGGATTACAGCCAGCCCGTTGTGCTTCGGTCGAACAGGTGCACTGTCGAGGATTTCGTAAGTTGTTGGATCACCTTGAGGTCTTCGGGACGGAGCAATTGGTTGTTCTAGTATCAGCAGTACTGACTGAACATGCCCAGTGCAACGCCATTCACCGAAGCATCGTTGAGCAGTTCAAAAACGCTATTGTGTATGGCAAATCTTGCAAGCACCAACCTCAGCGTGTTGGTCTGTCCCACGAGCTAGCTGATGAGGACATTGGTTCGTCCCCCTCTCTCTCCGCGATCAACATCTTCTCCCAGATCACCTCCACTGACACAGATGCGAATCAGTGACGATTGTTAAGCGTTGAGACACTTCGCAAAATGCCATGGAAGACAGTGGTGATAGTACGACCCGGAATTCACCACCTCAGAAAGCAGAGGATCGCCAGCTTTTCCAAGCTGAAGCACAGAGCTACTTCCATGTTGAGGACTGCCTGAGCATAGACTACAGGCTCCGGTGGCTGTTCGTGTTGAAGGGGCAAGGGGGGGTCTCGAGGCGCAGCGGTAATGTCCAGGCAGGAACCACACCAGTCTGTCCGCGCCGCCTTTGAGCTTATGGGGGACGGCTGACAAGAGGACAGCGCCAAGACAACTCTCGCGATCGAGACGGACTGGCGCACGGATGGTGTTGTGTCCGTCAAGCAGACGAAGCAGCTTCGATGACGCGAAAGAGCACGATCGATCAGTAGATGTCGTTTACCCCAGAGATGACGTGAGAATAACTGGGGGGGGAATTGAACAAACAAGCGGATTCGCCATGTCTCCCACCTTGACTCAAATTTACTTCGCATACAGTTCCTGTCCTCAAAGCCCGGCTCGCGGATCACGCACTCGTCCCCTGCATACGGATCAGAGAACTGAACGAACGAAAAGCGTGGTGCGAAATGCGCCTCAGACGCCACAAGGTTCAGGTCACGGTATTTTCCTCGTGCTGTGGTTGAAAAGTCACGGCCAACATGCATAGCCGAGGGTCTCTCCTCATGCGACCTTCACGAGTTGTGAGTCCCAGCGACCGGCGTAGGGATGCATGCAAGCTGTGATGCAGAGGCCGCCGTCGTGGCCGCATGCGAGAGGGGGGTGAGGCCGGCAAATTTCACACACGGGCGCTTAACACAAACGCCTGACGACATTTCACGACCTCGCCTCAATCTTCTCTGGACGTGTCATTTTCGCGGCCGAGAAATCATGTGTTTTGATCCTTCCAACAGGACAGAGCCTGGGACAATCTGTTGTTGTCTGGCTCAGGCTGGCTTGGTCACTGAGCGGATGAAATCTCGCCACGGGCCTAGTTTTTGTCGGAAAGTTTCCAGCCAGTGACGGTCGCTGGCTCGATCCTCTCACGCATGGCCTCTCAGACCGACCTTTCAGAAGACTTCTCTTGCCGCCGAGGGCCTGCGCCAGGGGGGGGCCGAAGAGGGGGCGGCACACCGTCATCGGGTGCCTGGTGGGTCGCTACAGCTCTGGCGTTGGTGGGAACGGCGCTGGTCCAGGCATCGCAGCCCCAGGACCTACTTCGTCGGGATCAGCAAGCTCAAGTCAGGTTGGGAAATGCAGCCTGCTCGATCACTCACTTTGTTTCGACCGGCGGTGGGTGGGGTGCAGGAGAACCAAGACTCGAATACGGCTTAACACTAGCCCTGCTCTGCGCCTCACAGACCACCTCGAGAGATGAGGGTTATCAACTGCTACGAATGATGTTCCCCAGCCGCTCCAGCGACGAGGACGCATACCCCCGGATCCTGGCAAGCTGGGTGGGTGGTTGAAGCGGAAAAACGAGGAGCCAAAGGACACACAGACCACGCGGGAGAAACGGCTGCGATGCAGGCTATCCGGTGCATGAGGACACGGACCACCACGGCTTGCCCTGCCGCTTTGGCGCTCTCTTTGCGTTTTCTCCTCCATATGCTAACTACCTTACCTTGTCTATCTGCCTGAGGACCATGGGCAACCGTGCCCTGATGCTACGTACAGTCCTTTTCTGGGGTGTGTGGAGACGCCTCGATAGGCAGAGAAGGATCGAAGGTTGGGATGGCGTGGGAACATCGCGCCCGCTCATGCAATCGATTGTGACAAAAAGGCCACGGGCCAGCCTCACGATGACCTCGCAAATACCATTCTGATCCCAGCCAACTTTCTCAAAGAGTAAGTCATCACCAGTCTTTGCAAGGTCTAGAGGCTTCACGGTCAAGGTCAATCATGGGAACGCCATAGGAAAGCCACGACTCACCGGACGAAAGCCACCAAAACACCGACATGGTCTTGGTCCTCGCTCCTTTCGGCAACGTGCAATCTGGCACTGGTTGGTTCACCCATTGATGCCCGAGCCCCGCTTGTTGCTGCTTGCTGCTCATCGCTCCCGGTCTAGCGATCGCAATGCTCGGATGCGATACTGTCATGGCTCTCCCGAGAACATTTCTGCATTGTCATTGGAGCTATCAAACCAACGATGGCGGCAAGGTATGCTCAACACCAGTCACAAGATCGGGAGCGATCGAAGCGATCTCATCCCGCGGCGCATATCATGCCGGACTTTTCTTATTTCCTCCGGCCCTTCAGCCCGTCATGAAGTGCTCAGTGGGCATTCTCGATCTTCTACTCCGCCTGTCGTCGCTGCCGCTAGGACCATGATCATCAGCAATCCGGCGCTGTCCATACCAGGCCAACAGGGGGAGAACGATTGGTGCTGGAAGAGGTGCCTGAGGTGCTTGTACAAGACGAATGGCCACGGCATCACCAGTAGCGACTGCCACTGCCAGCGAGCATACATGCGCGACGAGCTGCGACCCTGTAACAGTCCGACATGGTCGTATCGACACGAAGACGCCGTGGACGAGGCATATCCGCCATGAAAATCCGTACTTCTGAACCCCCCTCACCTCATCAGCGGATGGCGCCTTTTCAGGACAAGCTCCCATGGTCACCGGGTCCAAGCTAGCCAGATATACACTTCCCATATTGGGATCGATTCTTTGCCTCACCCTTCAAGCAAGGTCATCTGGCAATTTTATCCAATGGTGAGATGAAGAACGCTCTTGTGACCCGCGAATAATGTCCAATGAGAGGTCAGGAATGGGCTCTCAGCATTTCGTTGGACGAAAGTCGACCTCTCCATGTTCTCAGCTTCTTGCAATTGTGGGTTCCCTCGTCTCCTGCTGAAGAAGCCGGGGGCGAGACCTCCCCTCTGCACGGTGGACACGAAGGGAGGAATGTGACCTTGCGGCCGTGAGAATGGAAGGCCGAGACATGGCTTTGCTCTAAATTCATGGTTGTCAGGTGGGTATCGGTATCGGGCTCCGGCTTGAAGGCCGACACAAGCCTCGTCGCGGCTACTGTTCCTGACGAATCTTCAACCGAAGGCCCGTTCCACTAGCCAGCAAGGTCCATCTTCTTAGTGGCTTTCGCAGTGCGGGATGTTTCGACCCGGCCTGTGTTTCGGCAAGACCAGGAAAGTACCGCCGCTCGCAATCAGTCGTTCATCTCCATGTTCAGTTCCATGACAGGGAGCTTCGGCAGGACGCCAGGGCCAGCTCAATGCTTCAACTTGTTAGCCAGAACGATGAATGACCGAGTCTTGGGGGTTCCATAGCTGTCATGATCATGTGCCGTTCCGTGCGGTCTGGGATGTGGTCTCGTTGGCTCGTCGACCTGCGACCGCATCATGCTGCTTCCTCGTTAGAGTCCCTCGTCAGAGTTCTTCGTCAGAGAAAGCGGGGTTCGGAGCATTGGCGGCGAAGCCTTGGCTTTTTCTCATCTTCACTCCATCAGAAATTGAGCATCAAAGCGCGCCGCCGGATCTCGACCTTAGAGGGTGGCATCTCACTCAGACGGCCTTTTTTGGTCGTCGAACGAGCAGGGGCTAACTGTAGCCGGCCGGGAGTGCGACGCGTGGAGGGACTGATCAGCTCGAAAAGAAGGGACGAAAAATGCGCGAGCCTCCTTAGCACCCCTCACCCCCTCTCCCCCCTCGACGGCGATGCATTGATGATCTTCGCTCAGTGCCGTGGCTTCCTTTCGGAACTCATGCGACAAGTCTTGATATTACCTGCCTGATCCTAGATCTACGCTTGACTCGACGACGTATAGCTCTTGTCCGCGCGCAAGCAGCAACTGGACGAGAGCATCGGTCGCATTGGGCACAGTCCGCTTGTCTAATATCGTTCGGTACAGGGTCTGTCTGCCTGTCAAGCCTAGTCACCTAGCAAAACATGGGCGGAAGAGACGTTCGCGGAACCCTCCCCCACCCCCTGGAGGGTCTCGATTGAGACGGAGCCGGGGTGATCCTTGCTGTCGAGGTTCACTATGGATAAGACAGGCCACTGGGCCTTCAACTCTGGCTCTGTCGATCCCCTGCACACGGCGCAGACTGGTCAGTCCAGTCCAGAAACCTAGAGTGAGCTGGGTGTCATCAGACGACAAGATTTGCTTAGATGACAATCAGCCCTGCTTTCTTTCAGCAATGGAATCCCAGCAGTTATTTGATTGTCCGAGTGAAGCTCCCCCGGATCATCGCGGACAGCACAGATGTGAGCTCGCCTTCGAGGACACACAATGAAATCCCTCGTGTTGTTATGGAGAATGGCCGGAGAAGGCTTCAGCGCCCGCCGTGCGACGCACACTGGCGACGATCAAATGGAAAATGCTCCGACGACGTGGAGGCCGCACTTGTCTCTGACAACGACACAGGGTTGGGTAGCGCCGGCCCTATTGAGCAAAGAATGACAGTAGCAGTAGCAGTAGCAGTAGCTGTACCAGCAGCAGCAGCAGCAAGAGAAGCGACGAACGAGCAGCGACCACAAGTAATGCATGGAGCCAGCCTATGGCGAAGGCCAGAGCAAGGACCTGGCAAGGGGGGGGGAGGCTTTGCCCGCCTTTGTACCTGTATTGCACCCCTGGAGCTACCCCCAACAAGTATCACTGATCAAGCACAGACGGGAGCAGCGGCTGCTGGTCTGTTGAAATGCCTCATCCCGGGATGCGATGCGCAGGGATTCGGTTTTCGCATGATCCTGCCATGGGCGACTGCCACAGCTCAAACCCTGGCGGCAAGACCTGTCATCAGTTATCGATTGAAATTGGGGAGGTGAGAGGAGAGAGCTTGCGACAAGGAATGGGAATGCTCATACTGCGGGTGAGTGACAGCGTCAACAGCATCGCAGATTCGCAGTCGGCGATACTCGATTCATGAGCGACCAGGCCACCTGCGCCAGCTAGATGGTCGATCGCTACCTTGACCAGAAAGAGGTACATATCCACCCGAGTCCACTTGGATGTGTTCAGCCCAGATGAATACTGACCTTGGCTATGACACTGGCCTCAAGAGCTTGGCGAAAGAAGTGGGAGAGAGAGAGAGAGGGAGTTGGGAAGTTGGCTTTCGTTGATCCTCGGGACCACGCGCGCTTGCGGAATCCCTGGCTCAGGGCGCGGCGTGGCTGTTGGTGAGACTGACCGACCAAGTACTGTAGCAGGAGGCGGCAGCTATGGAGCTCGAGTGTGCCACAGCTTACCTTGCTTGGACTTCGAATGCTCGTGAAGAACACAAGGCAAGGTGGTCTGAAAGTACATTGTCGGCCGAGCGTACAACACACACACCTTGTCCGAATTGAACAGCCAGGGCAAGACGGGAAAGAAAAAGACGAGGAAAGCAATCGCATCGCATCTCATCTCTTAGCCTTGCCTGGCCTGGCACACTCTCCACATCATCCGGCGTCTCGTCTTGTCTCGTCTCGAATCTTGCCACAACAACCTACGTTATTACCTCCACCGGATCAAGCTCTCTGTTGCCAGGACGAGCATGGATGGATGGGACCCCTGGAGCTGGTGGCTGGCTTTCATCAGTCCGTCCCGTCTCGATCTGCCCCGGCCGCAACTCTCTCCTCCCGCCATCTGACAAGCATGCTCGACCTGGCCTTGCCTTTGATACTTCCCGGCTGGCCTTCCTGCTTTTAGCATCACCTTTCGTACATCCGTCCCTGGGCCGGCCTGGCCTGTCTTTCACCGATCTCTCTCCCCCCCCCCCTCCACCACCCAAGGCCCCCCCCCGAACGAAGCTCCAGGCATCAAGCCTCAAGCCCTTCTACACCCCCTGGTCACTTCATCTTGTGCATTTCCTCCTCACCCCTCTGAATACCTCTCGTCGATAGGGTGGGCTCGTTGTTGGAGGACCCATCTCAACCCTTCAAGGCCTCTCTTTCTCAACCCATCTTTCTAAGAGATTCATCCCCCCCCCTTCCTTTCCACCCCCCCGGACCAGAGGAAATCACACACCCCTCCCACCCCCTCTTCTACTCTCTTTACCCTTGCCGGTACTTCGAGGACAACCCTCAGCAGCCGATGCTCTTGTGCATACCACAATACATATGACCTACCTACCCAGGTGGCCCACCTCCGAAGCTCAAGCTCTCTGGTCTGTGTTGTATTACCGTTGTCTGCACACTCCATCGTACATGACCGTCTGATATCCCATCTCTCCCCTCGACCGACTGACCCAGCACTGCATTGCAGCTTTCTCGCCTTGCAGCAAACAGCCCGTTGAACCGATTTCGTCTCCTTCGCTGCCCCTGTCGACGGGTCTATCGAACCCCATCGCTTGCCGCCGAGACGCCCTCTAACGCTGTGCAGTGTGCAGCGTTCCGGCACATCCTCCACTGCAGCGCTTCTGAGTCTGTCAGCTTATACGCCCCCCTCTCTCAGTCGAGCATCGGAGCACCAACCCAACGACCGGAATCAGCTTCTCTCTCGCGCGCGTTCTCTGTCTCCCTCTCCCTCTGTCCCTGCTTCACGCGCTGGCAAGGGTCGTCGAAACAGTCTCGACCGACTGGGATACCATACGTTCATCGATGGGCTACTGGAAGAGCCCGAGACTGCATCGTGCCGTTGCGTCCGTCCGTCCAGCCCGCTGCCGCCTCCAAAACATACAGGGTCAAGGACATTTAGCGGAGCCCAGCCCTCCTCTTCCATGAGGAGACGTGCCGCCGCCAAACTGACCATCCATCCACCCATCCATCCCGTCTTGGACCCCCCCCCCCCCCCAGCGCCTGCTGCACCTCCGACGCACCTGCATTGCATCCCTGAACCACCCGCCATCTCCTGTCCTATCCTGCCTTCCGCCTCGAGGTCTCCCCACGACGCAGACCGCTTATACGCCGTCGTTCAGAAACCAATTGCCCCCCCTCGACCTATCATGCATGCCTCCCATCTATGAGTCCAACCCGATCAGATACCCTACTGGGAACAGAGTTCCCCCACATCTGGGCATCCTACCAGTCATCAGGACAACCACACACCTCCGCGCACGGCGGGAGTTCTTCCTCCCTCCCGCGCGTGTTGTGTCGTCCGGCTCCCTTAACCTGGAACTAACGCTCAAGGTCGCTTGCTGCTGACCTCCAGCGTCGGGGCCCTTGCTTTTATGCTTCTGCGTGAAGAGAAGGTTGAGACATAACAGACAGGAAATGCAACACGCCATGATGGGCTCAACTGGCGTGGACCAGGAGAGTCATCTTGCAACGGACCAATCTTTTACAAATCACCATCAGAACACTGCCGCCAACCACAACGTCAACGACGGCTGGGGCGACATGAATGCCTACCACCAGAGCGCCATGCCAGACTACGGGTTTAGTTATGGTTCTCACACTCCGCACGGGTTGCCATCAGAATCCATCGGTAGGATGCCTCCTCCGCCGGCGCCTCTACAGCCTATTCTGCCTCCTCAGCAGCAGCAGCAGCAGCAACAGCATCGATCGCATACACAACTTGCCATGCTCACGATACCTCAGGGAGCATGGCCAAGTAATTTCGTGCAAAATCGCAGCAGCTACTCGGCTCAGTCGGCGCCCCCTTTGCAGATGCCGCCCGTGCTGGGTGTGTCGCCTTCGTCCAAGCCTGTCAGGCCGTTGGGCATGCAGCAATCAGCGCCGCGGAAGACTCTGACAGATGACGACAGGCGCAGGATGTGCCAGTACCATATGGACAACCCCAACATGAAGCAGACCGAAATCGGTGCCATGTTCGGCGTCGAAAGGAGGTAGGTGACACGATCAACACTACGCGAGCCCCGTGGCTCAACAGGTCTGACGCTGCGTCTAGTACTGTATCGAAGGTTCTTCGTAACAAGGAGAAGTATCTCTTCCCGGAGAACAGGACGCAATCTCCAGTCAAGCGCAACCAGAAGAAGCTGCCGGACTTCGAGAAGGCTTTGTCATCCTGGGTCAACAAAAGGAAGACACGCTATGGGGCTGACATCTCAGACGAGGAGATCCTGCAACAGGCTCGCCACTTCCGTCTGACTGTCGGTGGCGAGTCGGAAAGCCAGTTCAAGGCCTTGTTAAACGGCTCGTGGCTGGAAAAGTTCAAGCAGAAGAACGGCATCGGTCAACCCAGGTTGTTGCGGAGGGCATCCGAGACGAACATAATCGATCACGCGAAACTCTCTGCCTCGCCATCGCTGACGCACGGCATCATGTCAACCACGTCGCCTACGGGACAGCCTTCGCCCCTCTCGGCAGATCGGAGTGACGAGGACGCACACAACAACAGCCTCGGGTTCATCCCCTACTCTCCAGACGGCAACACCTACAAGCACGCAAACTCGCATAGCACGACGTCTCTGAACAGCGCTTTCACAGACGCAGCGGCGTCCTCTTTCTCGGGGGGTGCGCTGAGCCCCACAGGTCCATTCACCTTCTCGCCAGATCCAAACGTTGGCAGTTTCCTAGCACCCGATCAGACTCGCCAGATGCAAGTGGGCGTAGGCTCCAACTTCTCGCGGCCGAGGAGCCAGACCTTCCCAACCCTGGATCTAGAGTACATGAACGCAGCGGGTACGACGACAGAGCCATCAACCCCGAGGTTTCACCCCTCGGCGACCGCCCCTTCCTCGGCTCTGGAGTCTCCTGTCCACGAGATGAACGCAGCTCCGTTCGGCATCGACAACGCCATCGCCTCGTCACCGCATCTGCATCACAGCAGCAGCAATAGCAGCATGGCTGGGCGGTCAACAACCACTCCGATCAACAGCGGTTTGTCGTCGACCCCTGTTGGCTCTTCTCCGACGTCGCCCACGCAGGAGGACGCCCGGAGGGCAGCAGACACGTTGCTCAACTTTATCCAAAGCAACGCTTCCAACGGCTTTGTCGACCAAAACGAATACGCAACCGTCCTGCGGCTGACGGAGAAACTTCGCATCCACCAGCAGCAAAGCGACCAAGTCGATCAACGTCACGGCCATCGGCGGTCTTTTCAAGAATACCGGGAAGGGCGATTCGAAGATGCCGCCGCCGACAACAACGAAACTAGCATGTCGAGGCGACTCATGTCTGGTTGAAAGTACGGCTTCGCGGCCGATCTATGGGGACTGGTCAGGAGATACGGGCATCTGATGTCTCGCTAGATTTCACGCAAGAAAGATGACATCAGTGGTCGTCGTTGC